CTCAGGCAATTTGCACCAGAGGGTCCCAAACTTTCTTGGTTCACAGCGTCCTGAGTCCAAAAGAAATAATAAGTTTTGTTTATCAAGTATTTAGGTTCATACTACTTAATAAGTGTTTCCATCGTAACAACATAGAGTAACTGCTTGAAAAACATGATACATATCAACAGAAAAAAAAATATATATGTATATATATTTTAACCATAATTGCTTACTAATGGGATGTGTGTCCTGTTGGCAAATGCATGGTTTCTGAAACCTTGGATTCAACTTGGACATTGCCACCCCCATTTTCTGTTGCATATTGATTTCCACACTTGGTTTTCTCACAGCAACTATGGAAAACTCAGCTCACAAAGATGTGATGTCATTGAAAGAAATCCAGTGTTGAAACCATAGGCTACCATGGGATGGTAGATTCACATGTCCAAGAGATGTCAAGTATTGCTATGTTTCCCTCAAAAACTCACAGTATTCTGCCTTACCCTTGTGAGTTCACTGCAGTACTCAATGGTGTCCCAGCACACAGCCTATAAACTGCAGATTTGTGTTAATATAATTCACTGAAGGCCTGTGTACAGACCAGAATGCCAGAGCTAGATCACCATGGAGGGGCACTGCATTCAGCCCCTGATCTCCTTGTCCAGCCGTCTCATCCCTGGGAGGCCGGGTTAGCAACCCATTGTGCTTGGCTTGGCAAGCAGCAGAACAGTGAGGTGGACTCCAGACAGCCCGTCTGGTCTGCACACTGATGAGGCTTGAGATTTCAGCTGCTTCCCAGCAAGAACTCCTTCCTGGGCCTAGCCTGCTCCCAGCTCCAGCCCTCTCCCCCAGAGATAGCTTTAGGAAATGAGGTATGGAGGGTGTAGTGAGCTTTGGAAAGAGAAGGACTAGGAACCCTGGAGGGTGCCAGCCCTCACTGTTGTAGGAGAGACACAAGTGTCGTCTATTTAACAAACCCTTCCCTGGGTCTTTCTGTGTGCCACACACTGTTCTAAGAGGTTTGCAAATAGGAGGTCATTCAGTCCTCAGCACAACCCCATGACATTGATCTATTGTTACCCCCACTTTACCGAAGAAGAAACTGAGGCACGGGACAGGAGGTTAAATATATGTTGCCTAAAGGTTCATGGAGCTGGGAAGTGGTAGAACTGGGATTTGAACCCAGGCTGTTCATACTCTTACCTGGACTTTTCCCTGAGGGGGTTAGAAAACCCCAGCAATCCTTCCCACTGTGCTGCTTTCTAGCAATGTGCTGGGGCCAGGTGCTGAACCACTCTAAGATTCTGTTTTTCCCCCGTGAAACGGCCCAGTAAACTTCTCCCTGGGGTCATTGAATGGCTTCCAGATTAGGCATGTAAAGTGCTTTCTATTATCCAGGGTGGTAGCACAGAAAGCCTTCAGGGCTGCCCGGCTAGGGACTCCGAGGCACTCCTCCCCACCGACGTACATGAACCTGGAAGACAGCAGGGGGCAGCACCGGGCCGCTGCAGAGGGTTCTGCACCTGGAGGCGCCGGCCCTTCATTCAACAGGGATCCTGCATCTCAGTGCCTGGCAATATGCCGCTCCTCCATTCAGGCAGAACGTTCGAGGTGGCTTTGCCAAAGCAAGAACAAAATCACAGCCTGAGAGGATGAATTAAGGGGGAAACCAAGGAAGCAAGTTCAGCATAACCGTTCTGTTAGCTCAGAGCCTGCCTTGCACACCTGGGCCCGCTGAAGCTGTTCGTTTCAGTTGTTGTCTTAAGATATTTCTGAAGGCACTTCCCACATCCCACCACCAGCATTGCAGGTGGAGGTTTACCTTGAGGTCTATGTGAGGAGGAGTGACGTAGAAAAGTGACTAGAGGTTGCGCCTGAGGAGGAAGATGCTGTTTATACCAAAATACATGTGCACAGTGTCTGGTGTTTGGCATGGGGTCCTGTCAACTCTGTCCTGTTCCTTTTTAGGGTTATCTTTGTTCAGCTGAAACCCAGATGAGAACAGGACCTTGAAAAAGCCACAATCCAAACTCTGGAAACCCACACCCTCTCATAGAGGAATTTGGTGGAGAGGCTGCCTCAGGGTGTGGTGTCTCCACCGCAGGCCACTGCTGTTCCCTGTTCAAGCTACCAGCCCCGCTCACTGGCCCATCTGGGCCCTGTGGGGCTCCTGTGGACAGCTGAGGCCAGAAGCTTGAGGGACACCCCTCCTTCTCTGCAAGAGGGCAGAAGGCCTGGGACCCCAGCTGTGCTATGATGTCTGGCCAGTCCTCACTTTCAAGTCTACTGTCTTTCTTTCAAGTCTACTGTCCCCAAGCATGGGGGTAACAGCACAATCTATATGCAACATCTTCAGCTTGTTGGGTTGTTTCTGTTTTTCCAAGGATTCTGAAGGTTTTGTCCTTTGACCTATTAAGTATTAATAATAATTCTCATTTTTCAGTCTGTAAGGCATGGATCAGTGACGAATACATTGCTTGGGGGTTTTATTTAAAGGGAAGAAGGCCTATGATTGTGGGTGATGGGGGAGGTGCCGGGAGTCACAGCAGATGGTGAATCAGAAGGGTAGGCACAGCACCCTTGGCAAGAGAATTGTATTCCTGTGCTCTGTGTCCCGTTCTTTTGGGAAGGCCTGAGCCGTGAGTTTGTTTGCTGAGCCATCTCTAGAGTGCCTGTAACTCTGACTGATGGATTACCACAGCCTGCAGCCTGGATGGGAGGATATGACTGGCTTCAGGACTTTGCAGGAATCTCTCGGGTTTAGCGTGGGTGCCGCTCCTGAGTTGGACAACTGCTCTCCATGCCCCCTACTTCCTGCTGCTTTCTCAGATCCCCTTCCTGCTGCTCTGCTCCCTAACCACAACCCCACTAAATAAAGCCCCCCTAATTCTAGTCCATCCCCGAAAGATCTTTTCCAGTAACATCCCCTGCCCCCAACTTTGTGTGCTTGGTTATCTTAATCAAAATTATGACAAACCAGAGATAATGTGCTAATCATGTGAACGTCACTCCTCTCCAAAGTGATACATTTTCATTTGTTAAAATGCAGCTTATTAACAGAAATAAGATTCTGCAGTTTCTGGTTGGCCGTGGAGTGACTATTTGGAAACAGTGGAACTTCTACATTTCTTCACATCCAAGTAGGATTTTGCTGAGGGTGGACTCAGCCCTGTTCCTGTGATATAAAACATATTTTCTTCATTCTTTCCTTCATCAAACATCTCCTAAGTGACTGCTTCAGGGTTCTGGGTTCCTGTCTATAAATATGTGTTAGTTCGTTCTTGCCTTGCTATAAAGAAATACCTGAGGCTGGGTAATTTATAAAGAAAGGAGATTCCAGTGGCTTGGGGTTTTGCAGACAGTACTGGAAGCATGGCGTTGGCATCTGCTCATGGTGAAGGTCTCCGGAGGCTTCCAGTCATGGCAGGAGGCAAAGGGGGAGCAGGCGCATTACATGGTGAGAGCCAGAGCAAGAGGGAGAAGGGGAGGTCCCAGACTCCTTTAAACAATCAGAACAATCAGATCTTGTGTGAACTGAGAGCACACTCATCACCAAGGGGGCAGTGCTGAACCATTCGTGAGCCCCATGATCTAATACCTCCCATTAGGCCCCACCTCCAACATTATGGATTACACTTCAACATGAGATTTGGAGGAGACAAACATGCAAACTATATCACGTGGCTTCCTTTGCCCAGTATTTAAAACCATTTGCTTTCCTCTGTGTAGTTTAAGTTGTTTTTCCCCACCCTAAGTCAATGAATGACTTCAGAGGAGGGAAAGCTTCAAGTCAGCGAGGCCAGGATTTTTTACTGTTTGGTTCAGCATCGAATCCCCAACCCTGAGAATAGTCCTTGGCACATAGAAGGAGCTCAGGAAAACTTGACTGAATGGATGAATATGTGATTGGTTCCACAACATCACCAAGAGAATTTAGGGTGAGTTGATCTACCCCTATGAACAGACTAGGCTGGAGAGCTACCCTCCACTGGGCTTAGGTTCCTTGCCGTGAAATTCATCTCTCACCCTGCTCTTCAGGTGCCTGTGTGGCCTGTTAGCACCCACCGTTGGAGCTACCTGGCACTGACTGTCCTCATCAGATGGCCAGCTTCTAAAGGGAAGGGCCACTTTCTTGACTCTTATTTTTGCCTCCAGGGCCTGGAGAACTATCAGTGCTCAAGAAATGTCTACCCAATTGAAATTTAAATAGATACAGCCTGTGGGTTTGAGTTTGGGATCAGTACTTTTCCCGGAAGGTCCTAAAATTTCTGTGTAAAATACCAGGTATTGTGTCCATCCGATACTTAAGCACTACCCAGAACTTGCCATCTTCTCAGGTCCTACAGAAACGCTTAATTCCTGAACAGCTGTTATAGCCACAACAACAATGGAAACAGATAATGACTTCAAAACATGGAGAGAAATTGAAGAATTGAAATTAATAAATATGTAACTAAATGTTAGATATTTACCATTGTGGGAACTTTGCTATTTGCTAAATTTCAGAGTCAGAACGTTTTATTATATTTGAAAATAATTTGTGGCATAGATTATCCTCACTTCACAAAAAATTCCTGAGTTTGCACAATGGGTGTCAAGGGATCTTAGCCAACCACAGATTAAATGAGTTACATAAAGCCAAATAAATGTAAAAGCAAAATTATAAAAGCCTTTTCGAAAGTGTGGATTGCAGAAAAAATATTTAATGATAGATGCAGATATATTTTAATATGTTTGATGTGGGGTGAAGTCCTCTAAAAGTAAAGGACACAAATTTCAAAGCAACCTAGCAAAATACTATAGAATTGTAGCATAATATACAGTGCTTTCATAGAGTTTCCAAAAATTATAAATTCAGGCTTTCCCCTCTAGGATTTTTAGAATAATTCCTAATGTCATTTGTAAAAGCAGACATCTCATCTCATCAATGTAAAATAATATCCTTGACCTTTGGTGATTTTGCTCATTGAATAGCCTCTGTTTTGTAATCTCTTTTTTTTTTTATCATCTTCTTTCAGGAATCCTGTTCACGATGCTGGTATTTGGACCAGCCTGCGGGTTTATCCTGGGCTCTTTCTGTACCAAAATCTACGTGGATGCAGTCTTCATTGACACAAGTAAGGAATATATCTTGATATCTACCTTCCACCCACAAGCATTTCCTCCCTCATAAATGCGGCTTCAGCCTGTGGGTTCTAAAACCTTCTTGCTCAGAGACAGTCTTGATGCCCCTGCCTCTGTAGCTGGGGCTCACCCGAGATTAGTTGAAAGAACATGAATGTTGGTTCAGAGGGCCTGACTCAAGTCTGGGTTCTGCCAACATATACCTGGAGGCTGAATAACCCCCAGTAGCTGATTTTACTACTCAAATCTGTATTTTCCTTATCTGTAAATAAAGGGTAACAATAATTATATCTGCCTGGCAGATAAGAATTTAATGTGAGTGTCTGTGTAGAAATGCTTGGCATATGCTCATTGAGTGGTGGCCCATTAACCTATGTGAGGATCCTACTTTCCAAACTAAGAGTTGGAGCATGTGTTCTGGAAGTGCAAGTGTACGAAAGGGGTCAGTGAGACAGAATATTGGAAAATGCTTTTAGAAGACACTGTTGTGGTGGCCTTTGTGAGGAAATATCCACATTCAAAACCATTTTAATCAGAACTTGTGTTCTTAGCAGGAAGTGCAAGTCTCAGAAGACCCTGAGTTCCCCAATCCACGATTGTGGGATTGAATGGGATGCGAGATCGATGGGCTAGACTGTGCTGTGGTGATAGACAGTCCCAAAACCTCAGTGATTTTACACAACTAAGGTTTATTTCTTGGTCACACTACATGTGCAGGGTAGGTCGGCAGTGTCGGGGTCAGGGAGACTTGGCTCATCATGGTCACCTGTTGATCTGTTCTCAGGATCAGTAAGCATTCCCAGTGCCCCGGGCCCAGGCTCACAGAAGTTCCATCCTGACCCCAGCTTGCACAGTTACCAAGGCAGGAAACCAGTTTTACTCTGGCCCTTGAAACCTCTACTCAGAAATGACATACAATGTTTCCCCTCATATTTCATCAACAAAAGCAAGTCACGTGGTGTATTGGTTTCCTGTTGCTGCATAAGAAATGACCCCAAACCGAGTGACCTAAAACAGCAGACATTTCTTATCACGCAGTTCTTCATATTTTTTTCTGTGGGTCTGGAATACAGGAGCCGCATCACTGGGCAGTTCTAGCTCAAGGTCTCTTATGAGGCTGCAGTCAAGGTGTTGCAAGGTGGCAACCTGGTCTTGGGTCATCCCAAGGCTCAACTTGGGGAGGATCCACTTCCAAGCTCACTGCCATGGGCCCACAGGAGGGGGCTACCTCACCGTGACACCCCTGAAGCAAACAACCCAAGAGAAGGTGAGAGAGAACACCTGAGGCAGGAGCCACAGTCTTTTTATAACCCAATCTCAGAAGTGACATCTCATTACTTCTGCTGTATTTTGTTTGTTAGAAGCTAGTCACTGGCCGGGCGCGGTGGCTCACGCCTGTAATCCCAGCACTTTGGGAGGCCGAGACAGGCGGATCACGAGGTCAGGAGATCGAGACCATCCTGGCTAACACGGTGAAACCTCGTCTCTACTAAAAATGCAAAAAATTAGCCGGGCGTGGCGGTGGGTGCCTGTAGTCCCAGCTACTCGGGAGGCTGAGGCAGGAGAATGGTGTGAACCCGGGAGGCGGAGCTTGCAGTGAGCCAAGATCGCACCACTGCATTCCAGCCTGGGTGACAGAGCAAGACTCCATCTCAAAAAAAAAAAAAAAAAAAAAAAAAGAAGCTAGTCACTTGTTCAGGTTTACTATCGAAAGAGAAGGGATTATTACACAGGGACCGGAATACCAGGCAGCAGGGATTTTACAGACCATCTGGGTCATTGCCTACCATGTGCAGTCACATTTCTACCTTGTGTCTGAAAAGGAACGCTATATTTACATGTAGTTTAGCATGTAGCAAAGCTGTATTTCCTTTCTCTCTGAAAACAGAGGGTGAGAAGCCATTCCAGCCTTTGCTTCTCATGCCGATCTATCCTCAGGATCAATAAGAATTCTCAGTCCCCAGGTTCTCAATCCATCATCTCTTGACAGTGCTAAATTTACTAATTCACCCCAAAGAAATAATGTGGTTTTAAATCCAATCAAGTCGCTTTGTGATTCACTCCATTAATCCCACTGATATATTTACTTGTAGCTAATGATGTTACAGATTCCAAGTGGAAAAAAAAAAAATCAGAGGCAGCCTTATTTATTTATACTTTTAAAGTGCTGAGTCTGTTCAGAAGGTGATTGAGTGCTGGTGTTTTGTAGCCATTGGCTGGCCCTTTGAACCCATTTCCTAGGGAGTGCGGTAAGGGGTGGGCTGGGAAGAGACAGGACATGTGAAGTGAGTCGGTTTCCATCTTGTTCGTATAGACAGGCCAGCTTCCACCACTGCACCCAAGGCAGCACAAGACAGGGCCAGCAGAGGGGATAGAGAGGAGGCATTCTCCTGATACAATGGGGAAGCCACCTTGAAGGGTAGCAAAGTGGCCAGGTGGCATATTTTGCCCTCAGTGGTATCAGTGGTGGCCTTTGAACCAAAACCCTGTGAATGACCAGATTATCTGAGCTGGAAAGAGCCTCAGACATCATTCCTTTCCAACTCTTTCATTTTCCAAATGAGGAAACTGAGTCACAGACAGGGGAAGGGATGTCCCCAATCCAAGGAATGTATCTCTATAAAACCCAGATCTCCTGAGCCTGCCTGTGAAGATTGCACTCACCAAACTCTCTTAGGAGAATGAAACGGCACCTTCTCTCAGTGCCCGCAATGACCAGCAGGTAGACAGATGGCTGGAGGAGGCTTAGCCCATCTACTCCCGGTTCCCTCCATCCGCTGAGGCTGTTCCTTCAGCCTGGAATGCTGTTTCCATCTTACTGTGTTCAGCACCTCTGTTTGCCCTTTAAGGCCCAGGGTGTAGCGGTGTGATCCATGGTTCCAGTCTCATTGGCTACTTGGTGCCTACATGGATGTAAGGCAGGTGGGCTCTTTTCAGTCCTGTGTGGGCATCTCGCTGATGGCAGCCTTCCCCACCAAGCTGATGATGGACTTCTCTTTCTGTTTCTAAAGAATGCAAGGTGCATTGTCAGTCATGATCTTTGCGTCCTTCCCATAGGCACCGTGAGGGTTGGTGCAGCTCTTTACCAGTAGAGGGCAGAAGAATATCATTTATCCTATTTAGGGAGTCAGCCACAGAATTCTGTAGTTTCCAGCAGTTTTTATTGTTTCTAATCTTGTGACTGAAACTTGCCGCGTGGGGGTGGATTTGGGCTGTATTTGAGGAAGGGATTCTTAATTTCTTTAGGGCCTCCCCTATCTTTTCCTTGCTTTCCTAAAGCAGTACTCTTCTGTAGGGCTGTCCAATGTATGGGAACATCACTGTAGGCATTAATAGACGAGGGCCACACACGGACACATGTTTCTGAAGTCCCCACTGAGATTGGGGTCCAGGAAAAGCAGCAGCCTGAAATTTGTGGGGAAGCGGCAAGGCAGGTCCACAGAGGGCCCTCGTTATGGGGTAGATGGAGGAGAGAAGGTGGCGTCCACCACATAGCCTGGTGCCCACATTGAGAGGAGAATCCAGTGAGGAAGCCTGGTTGAAACTTGTGAGTAGATGCAGCTGGGGGTGCGAAGGAGGGTTGGTTGTAGACATGGGCCAGCTCTGGGGTGAGAACCCCCACGGGGCACCTTGCCTGGAGGTCCCAACTGGCTCCACTTAGACATGGGCTGTGTCTGCTGCTATCTTTCATCCGTGTTTGATCCCTACATGGTTCCCTTTGCTCCTCAGCTCAGGGAGAATAACTCTGTCCCCTGAGAGCTGGGGGAAGACATGATGGTACCTCCAGGATTTCTTTTTTAGGTTCTTTGTTAAACTGAACCCCAGGTAAGAACAGGACCTTGAAGAAAAGAAGGACTTGGTAACAGAATACATATCTAATCACTGCCTTGGCAAGCCTTAACTATGTGGGTTTATTACAAGAAGATTAGTAATACCAGCAGCCATGAATTGGTCACTTATTAAAGCTGTACATAGATTGCCTCATTGGAGCCTCAGCACATTTTTATGGGAGTGTAGATCCTACTATTAGGTGAGGCATTATCATGCAATGGTTAAGAATTCGAGCACTGGAATCAGACTCCATTTGAATCCTGACTACCCCCCTTACGAGTTCTGTGATCCTGGGGACATTACACACACATCCTGAGTCTGTGCGTGGATGGCATGAGCTACTCATGCAAAGCATTTAGCACAATGACTGGTGTATAGTAAGCACACAATAAATACTTATAATAAGAAATCCGAGAGGTTAACAGTTTCCACAGCTAGGGATAGAGCAAGGATTCATTCCCAGGCCTGTCTGACCTCAAAGCCCCACTCTTAACAGAACAGCTGGCTTCCCTGAAACATCTCCAGGCATGTAGCCAGAAGGGGGCTCCCTTCCGTGGACAAAGGCCTTGTTGAGATGACCTAGCCTCACCAGCACATCCGTGCAGACTTGTCCTGAGGCACACACCAGCAGGGCTCGCAGAAGGCTGCATGGCGTTGGCAGCTGGAACAAGATGTGGCCATCTGTTTCCTTCACAAGAAAGGTCAACAGACTGAGAGCCTCCTGCTCTGCTGTCCTGAGGGTTGGCTGCTACTGCTAGATTCCTTCATTTTGGGCTAATTAGCCCAATGGCTGGGATTCTAGATGTTCAATACCACCCTCCAGCCTTAGCCCCTTCCTGTCTCCATTTTCTAATTAGGTTTGTAACTTAATGATACTCTTAGAATTCTTGAGTCCCATAGCAAAAGTGTGGCAACATAGGTTAAACAAATAGGTCAATGAACTACAAAAAAAAAAAGTCCATATGTCCCAGGAGTAAGAAGTAAATGTCGCCAATTTGCTTTGATCTGCTCTTCTCACAATCTCAGGTATCCTCATGAGTTTGTGGGTGGGTTGGTTGGTTAGTTTTAAACTGGTTTAACTGTATTTCCAGTGACTTTTCATTTGATCTTGGAAATGGGTGGAAATCTCAGTGAGCCCCCTAGTTCAGTTGACCTTTGGCAGAAAGAGTAAACAGCTGTCAACAACTCTCAACTTACCCAATACAAGCAACAAATAAGAACAACCCAAAAGTCAGACACAAAGAGTGGAAGGGTTAGAAAAATGGATCTCGTAAGGCTGGGCATAGTGGCTCTCACCTGTAATCCCAGCACTTTGGGAGGCCGAGGCAGGTGGATCACCTGAGGTCAGGAGTTTGAGACCAGCCAACATGGTGAAACCTGTCTCTACTAAAAATAAAAATTAGCCGGGCATGATGGTAGGCACCTGTAATCCCAGCTACTTGGGAGGCTGACACAGGAGAATTGCTTGAACCTGGGAGGTGGAGGTTGCAGTAAACTGAGATCTCACCACTGCACTCCAGCCTGGGTAATAGAGTGAAACTCCATCTCCAAAAATAAATAAATAAATAAATAAATAAATAAATAAATAATAGGGGAAATGGATCTGGAAAAGGAGAAAAACCTTCTACGCCATAGAAAAACCTTCTATGTCAAGACAAGTCCAAGGTGTGCCTGGCTTCATGACAGACATTTCCATCATGGTACACCCAGTATATGGCTCTCTTTGTTCCACTCTGCAACCCTTTTCTCCTGTCCCCTTTACCAGACTTCCCTCAGAATGAAATGGCATCTGTTCTCATTGTCTGAAATGACCACGGGGTAGATTAGTGGCTTGATGAGGGAGTTGAGCCTATTCACTTAGAGTCCCCTGAGTGTGCCACACCTTGGCTCAGCCTGTTCCCTCAGCCTGAGATACTGTCTCTACCTCATTTTATTCAACATCTTTCTTCATCCATGTGTTTAGTTTTGTTGGCAATTGAATGTATCTAAGTAAATGAAACAGATTGGTGCTTTCAGTTTTGTTCTGGGCATCTTACTGAAAGCAGCCCTTGCCAGAAGGCTGAAACTGCAGCCGTTTTTTTAAAGTTAAGACACTAACTAGAACCAAATAGAGAAGTAAAGAGGTTTTCAAGCCTTCCTCCCTACCTTTACCTAAAACAATACTTTGCTATGTCAAGCCTGCCTGAGACGGCTGTTCTTCTAGAACATGGATTTTTATTTCCTAAACCTTTTGTACTAGTCAGGGTAGACTAGGTTATGTTGCAGTAACAAACAGCTCCCAAATCTCAGCAGCTTAGAATACTAAATGGTTCTTTCTTCTTTGTGCTAGATCCAATGCAGATCAACACGAACATTTCGTTTATTGTAGCCTGTCAGATACCATCTTAGGAGGAAAGGGGTTGGAGTCATGCACCAGCTCATACACACTTCCATCCAGAAATGATACATAACCCCCTTGCTCACATTTCATAGGCAAATCTCTGTGGCTTATGGTGACACCTAACTTCACAGAGTGAGGAGGTGTCATCCTCCTTGACATCAGAGGTGGAGGACACTAATAACATCTACCACACTGTCCTCTTCCAGCCACACAGAGAACTCTCCCTCAATATCTCTAGTACTGAAACAGTATCTGTAGAGCATTGACAGATGATTGCCAGCAGGTGGAGGGAGATTTTTCACCATAACTAGCCAAAATGCCTTGTTAGCTGGGCACAGTGGTTCACACCTGTAATCCCAGCACTTTGGGAGGCCAATGTGGGTGGATCACCTGAAGTCAGGAGTTCAAGACCAGCCTGGCCAACACGGTGTGAAACCCCATCTCTACCAAAAGTACAAAAATTAGTCAGGCATGGTGGTGGGCGCCTGTAATCTCAGTACTCGAGAGGCTGAGGCAGGTGAATCACCTCCCCAGGAGGTGGAGGTTGTGGTGAGCTGAGATCACGCCACTGCACTCCAGCCTGGGCGACAGAGCAAGAATCCACCTCAAAAAAAAAAAAAAAGAAAGAAAAGAAAAGAAAAAATAGTGTTTGTTATAGAGATGGACAGAGGTAAGACATTTTTCAGACAGGTCCAACCGTTAGTTGTCTTTCCTAGATCAAAGTCACCAAGCCTCCCCCCGCCCTCAGGGCAGCACACCCTACAGCTGAGCGGTTTCCCTCTGCATGTTATTTCTGTGTCTGCCACAGTGCTCCGGATAATTGAAATGGAGAAGAAAATCAATACTTCCCAAAATAGTCAGTGATGAGTGTCTGGGATCTACAGAATGCTGCTGTATGCCACCTTCACACAGGCCCCGTCTCTTGTCCTTGCCCAGGTGGCAGGTGGGCTTTGGTTCTGACACAGGTGACGTGCCCTTCCCCGTCTTTCAAACTGAGCCAATGTTGGCTTTCCTCACACATACACATACCTACAGGGAGCAAGTTGACATGTTCACACAAACCGTCACCTCCCCCATCACTGTCCCTCTCCCTGGGATGTTTTCTCACACATAGAACAACAGAGTCACTAAATTCCTAACTAAAATATGACTTTTCTAATTTTGTTCCCCCAAACAACTGCTAGGATTTCTCTCTCTTTACCAGCTCACATCTGCCAGCTTTTCAATTCCCCCTTTATGGAGCCTGGAGATAATGGAGGAAATACTTCAGCTCCCTTTTGCTGTCTTCTGTTTTCATTCATTGCTTGGCAGCAGGTGAAGAAACACAGTAAGTGACTAGTGAAAACATTCCTGTTCAGCTACCAGAGGCAATATCACTTCCTTGTGTCTTCCCTCATTTGCATAAAGATGCTTTCAAGATCACCTTGTGTTTTCCCATGCCGTACCTTTTAAAAAGATCCCTATTTTGAGATTCTCATTTATATACATATATGTACATAAAAGTGCAAATAACAAGATCTACTCTCTATATAAAGAGCCTACTATGCATCAGGTGATTCTTGCTCATTGCCTGTCATCCTTGCAACCACTCTAGGTTGAAGCTGTCTTCATTTTGCAAATGATGCAGCTAAGACTCAAGGAGGGTAAGTAACCTGCCCAGTATCATATGCTAGTAAGTGGCAGAGCTGGGATTCGCAAGTAATCTGCCCAGTATCACGTGCTAGTAAGTGGCAGAGATGGGATTTGACCCCAAGTTCTCAAAGCTTACACTGTCCCCTCTCCAGCTTGTAGCTATGCAGAAACATCTGGTCCATCGTAGTGCTGTTATTGCTGCTGAATGTATGTCAGCGTCTCCAGGACAGTGACTAACCAGTGTTCTAAAGGCCACTTGCTACTTACTGGAAGAGCTGGCGGCCTTAGGCTCATGGCACAAAGAGCAGGAATTGATCATTCACCTCAGGCCCTATAGGGAGCCCAAAACAAAGTCCAGACATTGAAGAGGGGCAGTGGAACAGAAAGGTGAGAGCGTGGACCTTGTTCCGTCCTTCAGCCCCGTGAACCTGGGCAAGGAACCTAACCTTTCTAAGCCTCAGTTTCTCCATCTATAGAAAATAGAGATAATAAAAGTCCTGCCTTGTAGAGTTATGGGGAAGGTTGGCTGGAACAGTTAAGAATGTGCTCTGCTTAATGCCTGGTGCAGAGGAAACCCTCAATAAATGATGACTGGCATTATCATTAATGCTAGCTGAGGAGTCTTCAGGGAGAGCATTTTATGAATGCTGAAGTGTTCATCTGGTGTCTGCGGTCATTACTCTTCCCAGAGCTGTCCATCCATCTGGTCCAGGCCTGCAGCCCTGTTGGTCCTACTTCATACACCATTGCCCAGATCTCCCCAGTTCTCCTTCCGTGTTCCAGGGGCGTGGTTTGTTATCAAAGAGACATTTCTAAGCAGCTCGCCTGGGAGCCGTGCTGTGCAAGGCAGTTGTAAAGAGAGAGAAAGAAAAAAACTGTACCAAAGGGTAAGCTGAAGTTTATGTTCTTGTGACTTAGCTGGCAAAATCAAATAGTGGTACAAGGCCACCAAACCACATGCATAGCACCTTTAAGCACATGAGTTGGCTGCAAAGCTTTGTATTAGAGAGCTGGTGCCAAGCCACAGGCCACCAACAGGGTTGGCATTAACCTCTCCACTAGTAGCATGGAAACAAGGGACCCTCACCATAAATAACAGGCTACCATCATCTGGATGCCCCAGCATGTGCCAGGTACTGTTCTGAGCATTTTATGTCTGGTGTGGTCATTTAATCTTCCCACTAAGTACTACCATCATCATAGATGTTATACAGATCAGTAAACTGAGGCATAGAGAGTTCAAACCACTGGCCTAGGATCACACAGAGAGCAAGGGGTAGGACTTCAACCCAGGCAGCCTGGCTTCAGAGGCCATGCTGTAAAACCCTATTGTGTGCCTCCCCTGACGAGCTGTGAACCTAATTTAAGACACTGAGTGGGGCTTTGAGTGGGATCTCATGAGCTGCTTTTTGGAAGCCAAGAGTGAATATACCTGATGAAAATCTACCTCTGAACAATAAACACTCCCTTGTGTTTCTTTGAGCACACCTTGGCAGCTCTGCCAAGCCAGTCAGTTTTAACCTAAATTCAGAGAATGTCTGGCTTCTCACTGTTTTTGTTTAGACTGATGTAAACACAGGGTAGACAAGAAAATTAAGGAGGGAATGTGATCAGCCTTGGGCTTTGAGAGAAACAGAACTGCTGATGTGCAACAATAGGCTTCGTAGCCTGGCAGCCACTGTTCCCAACCCCAGGTCATTTCTAGAGCCTTTGCCCTCTCTATTCAACTGAGTCAGATTCTCAGTAAAATCCCCAGTGGTGCAGCCTTCTTTTCTCCACTAAGCTGTGCTCTTTCCCTTTGCAGGTAACCTGGACATCACTCCGGATGACCCCCGCTGGATTGGAGCCTGGTGGGGTGGCTTTCTGCTCTGCGGTGCCTTACTCTTCTTCTCTTCCCTCTTGATGTTTGGGTTTCCACAGTCCCTGCCCCCGCACTCAGACCCCGCCATGGAAAGCGAGCAGGCCATGCTCCCCGAAAGAGAATACGAGAGGCCCAAGCCCAGCAATGGGGTCCTGAGGCACCCCCTGGAGCCAGACAGCAGTGCCTCCTGTTTCCAGCAGCTGAGAGGTAAAAGTGGCCTCATCTGCCTCTGCTCAGAACAGTAGGGGGATTGGGATGGGGGTGATGAGTGAAGGGGTAGCACCCAGGACTGGGGTGCTTGGGGACTTGGTGGAGGCAGAATAATATTGGCCTGCATGGCTGGCCTCTACCAGCCAGGTACTTAACTTATTCCTGAGAAGTAAATAACCTGACTTGCTTAATAAAAACAAAAATGAAGTAGCTACCATTTGTTAAAGGGACCCAGTGGTTAATATAGGACCTGACATTTAATAAACGTAAATGTCTTTAGAAGGAAGCAAAATATTCTGTGGAGCTTTTTTGAATTCTTTCAGGCCACCTATAAGCCCCTGGAAGCAATAAAGGACTTTTGAAGTTGGCTTCCTTTGCCTGATATCAGCATTCTTTAAAAAGCCACCTCCAGCCTGGCGCGATGGCTCACGCCTATAATCCCAGCCCTTTGGGAAGCCAAGGCAGGTGGATCACTTGAGGTCAGGAGTTTGAGACTAGCCTGCCCACCATGGTGAAACCCCATCTCTACTAAAATACAAAAATTAGCCGGGCTTGGTGGCATGTGCCTGTAATCCCAGCTACTCGGAAGGCTGAGGCAGGAGAATCACCTAGTCCTGGGTTCAAGCTCACCAGAGGTTGCAGTGAGCTGAGATTGCACCACTGCACTCCAGCCTGGGTGACAGAGCAAGACTCCATCTCTAAATAAATAAATAAATAAATAAATAAATAAATAAAGCCAACTCCAAAGTACATTTCTGTAGATTCACTTTGTCCTTTCATTGCCTCCACTAAAGATGAGAGATGTTTTCCTGAAGAAAGAAATATTAACCCAGTCTTAATGACACAGTCACACTTTAGAATGCAGCAAAGCTCTTGCTATCATTTTTTAAAGAAAAATGTGCAACTTTTCTGAAAAAATGGTGAAGCACAAACAGTGATGCAGAATGAGAATGAGAGCCCCCCCCCACCCCCCAAGTTGTTTCCATCTTAGCACAATCCTTTAAAGATGAGGAAAATGACGAGGAGCTGAATGTAGCCTGGCAGTCTCAGAAGCTGCTCAGCGACCATCAGGCGAGGTATGTGTGGGGTTCCTTAATGCACACGACTCCTTACTCAGCTCCCCTGAAGTCCTGCTGGATTTTAGAAATGAGTGGGCTCATGCAGCCAGGAGCAAGGTCAGGCACTACTTCCCAGGGAAGCTGGGATGCAGAAGGGAGATGGCCAGTCCCCTCTGTGCAGAAATGAGGCACTCAGCCGGATCAGACTTCCGCAGTGGCACATGCAGTCCTCCTGTGCTTTAGACATTTCCTAGCAGTCAAAGTCTGTTTACTAAACTTCTGTGTAACAATGTGCGCCTTCTATGGAGATGCTAGACATTCGTGGAGAGAAGCTTGAACTGCTTTGTGCTCAGCCCCCTGTTCTGTTCCTCACCAGCCCTGCAATCATTAACTCCCCCCCTGCTTCTTTTCCACGAATGTAAAACTGTAATAACACAATTCCTCACTGCCAGTGCTGTCTCAAAAATGAAAGCACTGCTGCAGAAGACTGTCTGTTAATCGTACCTGTTAGTCCATGAGGAATCTGAAGAACTTGTGTTATTTCTGAAGAGAGACAATTTTAATATCCTAATGTTATGTCTGGCCCCGTGTTCCACAATGGTTTCTACCAATGCTGTAATTTGGAATCATCTATAAAATTTAAGTTCCAGAATGCACTGGTAGATGAGAAGGCCAGCCAATCTGTGTCCTCTAAGGTTGCCTTGGCTTGGAATGCCCCCGTCCCCATGCATGTGTGCTTAATAAAATAGGCTCACTTCCAGCCGCCCCCAGGCAAGGAAGGTGCCTGCGACTCCCCTAGTAGCAGGAGAGTGATGCCTGCGACTCCCCTAATAGAACAGCCATCCATAGAAAGTGTCCTGGTAACTAGACCCCTAGGAATAAATTGGGCAGGTATGAGAGTGTGGCTTTCAAAGGACATCCTGGCCCTGGGCAACTACGGCATTTCCAAGTCGCTCCCCACCTCCGAATAATGACCCTGTTTCCCAAGGGCTCTGATTGTAAAAGCTGCACTAGTAATCACTTATCTTTCATCTCTGGGAATAAAAAGATGAAAAAGATATAATGGTGCCATCAGAGAACTCACCATCCCACGTAGGATCAGGCCTGTAAGTCAGCAAAGGCAGCCCAGTGTTTTGAGAACCGCAATAACAAGCAATACAGGTTGTTACAGAAATGCAGCAAAGAGACAGAGAGAAGCCCACCGCTCCTAGGCCATGAGTTGCGGGTGAGGGAAGGGTCAGCGGCAGAGCTGAGCCGACTCTTGAGGCCTACCATGGCTTCAGCATTCTTGGGTCATGATGCAGTTGCTCATTAACTCATTTGTTTTATCCATTGGTAGTTACTGAGACCCTACTAGATGCTGAGCACAGCCAAGACTAAAGCGATTTATATTCTGGAGCTTATATTCTCCTAGGTTGCAATAGGCAAGGTCAAAGCAATGACAAGATAAGCAGGCACTCTGGGTGAGCTGCCGTTGTGCTGACAAGTACACAGTCAGGTAGACGAGTCTGGGACCTACGAGGCCATATTGATTACAAATTGTAATCTGTATACACACAGGCTTCGCTTCTGATGGTTAATGATTTTAATTTAGAATTAACAATTCCCAGAAGCAATTGGTCCATAATGGACTAACATGATGTCCCAACAGGAAAGGAAGAAAGTGTTTCTACAAGACTCCTTAAGAGCCAAAATACAGTGAAGTGAGCTATTATGCTAATAAACACATTTTATACGTGCCAGTGCATGAAGTGGGGCCACAGTCGTTTATATGATTTATTTCTCCATGTGAGACACACGTTTTTGCTATATGAGCTTTTCCACCAAAAGCACCATGCAGTGCTCCCTGGCATTCCAAAACCCTTCATCCAGTTTGCATCCTGTGAAACCCACGCTTCAAATGCAGTGCTATACATGCAGTGTGTTACACATTTGTGGATGTAAATAAGCTGAACAGCATTGCATGTATACATAGAATTGACATTGCTCGTAAAACCTCTATGTTGCAATTTCTCATCCATTTTGTCTGAGTTTGCAAATGGGTTTCTTCTTTGGCCATCAATCTGTGTCCCCTGCTGTGCTCTGCAGACAGCAAAGGCCCCTGAGAAGAGCTGGCATTGCGCTGAGAAGAGCTGGCATTACACCAAGAAGAGCCCTTCCAGCCCCTTTTCTCTGGAACTTAGAAAGTCTTCCCCTGCTCCTGGGAGAAAATGGGGCTCTCTGCTTTGAGGCAGACCCACCTAGGTTAAAATCCAGCTCAGTCACTTCTTTTTTTTTTTTTCTTTTGAGACGGAGTTTCGCTCTGCCGCCCAGGCTGGAGTGCAGTGGCCGGATCTCAGCTCACTGGAAGCTCCGCCTCCCAGGTTTACGCCATTCTCCTGCCTCAGCCTCCCGAGCAGCTGGGACTACAGGCACCTGCCACCACGTCCGGCTAGTTTTTTTTTTTTTTATGTGTTTAGTAGAAACGGGATTTCACCGTGTTAGCCAGGAGGGTCTTGATCTCTGGACCTCGTGATCCGCCCGTCTCAGCCTCCCAAAGTGCTGGGATTACAGGCTTGAGCCACTGCGCCCGGCCTGCTCAGTCACTTCTTAATCATGCAGGCTTGGCCACATCACTTAACTCCTCTCAGCTTTCACATGTGGTGTCTGGTTTAGTCTTTACCAAAACTGTGTAAGGTCAGTATCACTGTTTATTCCTGTCTCTAGATGAGGAAACCAAGCTCTGGTGATATGGGGGTTAGAGTTTGTGGTTCGATTTTCAGAGCATTCCCCTATAAAAAGCAGGCTTCAGACATCTGCTTCCAACAGTCAGCCATCAGTTGGGTTTGCAACCCTTATCCAAAGCTGAGAGACGGGAAGCCCAGAGTCTTGCTCCAGGTCAGCCTGGAAGTCCCCATCTTATAGCAACAGTCCCATAACCATCTTACCATGCAGAAAGCAGATGAACAAATACTTGGGTTTGTTACACTCCAGTATCTCCCCGATGTGGGGGCCTGCCAAGCCAAGGCACATTTTTACTTCTCAGCTGTGCCACCAAATAACTTTTCCTTTAAGACGTGGCTCTGGCTCTGCTCCTCCCTGATCTCGCATTTTGGATGGCCTGTTTTTTACACACCTCACGTTCATCCTCTCGTGTCCTTTCCTCCCCTTTCCTACTTGGTAAGCCGTGTGTGGACAAGGCTGCACCTAGTGTGCTGAATCTAGCAAATGCTCAGAGTTTGCAGAATTGCTTGTGAGAGGCTACACCTGGAGGGAAGAAGTTCAGGGACTGTAATAGACAAATGTACAGTATCACCATCAGATAGTGTATTAAATATCACCTCCACAGTTTTGTGCTTCATTGTAAGTTTTCTCCGGCGTCTCTTGCCCTGAGAGGCCTTGATGGACGTGACAAGGGTCTCTTCTGCAGCCGCATGTCCATGTGCCTTCTCCCTCCAGCTCTGTACATTTCCTGGAATGCATCAGGCAATCTCTTGTTTGCTGCTGTTTCTCCCTGGAATGCCTTTCTTTCTTCAGCTCACTTCTGGGCTGGACTCTGTTCTCACCTCCCCAGGAAGCCCCCCAAAGCCCCTCTGTGTACATGCCCCTGTGTACCCGGTGCTGGGTTAGCTGCGTTCCTCTGAGGTCCCCAGAATCCCTGCAGAGCACCTGTGAACACATTACCATGGCAGTCTCTCTGCTTGTCTGTGTCTGCCCAAAGATTATGCATTTTCCAGGGATGAAGCTGTAGTTCATCTGTTCATTTCCAACGCACAGAACAGTGCATAGCATGTAGGTGATACTGGTTGAATGAAGTAATAAGTGAATACTTTCTTGCCAGCCTGCATGTATGTATAGACGTGGACACATGCACAAATAGCAGGTAATGATTTTTTTGTGCACTGTTATATTTCATCCCTGTACCTTAGGAGGCATTGGTACCACTTACCAATAAGGAAA